CCATCAACTGCCCCCAGCACTATGTAATTCCATCAATGGCCAAGACCCAGAAACTATAAAACCCAGTTCCTGGAAGAGAACAGCGCAGAGTCTCCTGCCTTCACGCCTGGCTGACCTCACCGGGGTTCTGCAATTAAAAAATGTAAAAATATGCCTTTTGGGACAAAATGGTAGAACTTGTGATAATATAGTAATCAATAAATGAAAAAGGAAATATTTTATAATGCACTGTCCTCCTGTTGTTCATCAATTTGCTCATGCGGGCCCAGTAATGTCTCCATCGTGAGACTTGTTGTTACTGTGTTTGGCATATTGAATACATCACAGGGAGCTTGCCAGGTTTTGCTGTGCCAGCAAGATACTCTTGGTAGCTTGCCGGGATCTCCAAGTGGGACGGAGGAATCGAAGCCTGCTCTGCCAGGCCGGCTGCATGCTAGGCAAATACCCTACCACTGTGCTATCGCTTCAGCCCATAATAAGAAATCATTAATTATATTAAGAAATAAGTGAAATAAAGTGAAAAATTACTGAATAGTTTCACTCTTATACAACAAGAATGGGATATCAAAAAGGAATGGAGAATGGAGAAATGGGCTCGGTGATCATTATGATGGTGAGAAGAAATTACAGCTTTGTAGCTGGGTGTGGTAGGTCTTATATACATATAGAAGTCTGAAGGCATATCCTTGTGAAGTTCTTTAGCATTATAAATCAATGGTAAATTCCATTGGCTTGAAAAGTAATAATAAATCAACTTAAGAAATCTGGTCTTGGGGAAAAGGTATATACTAATCTTTATGTATCCTATAAAAAATTATTTCATGCTTTCCTCATACTCCCTACACTAAATTAAATTATACAGATGAGGTATCACTCAAATTTGGCCCTTAGAATAATGAAGAATTAGGGAAGAAACTGCTGTTAATCTCATACAACTCACTGCCTTCTTCAAAAAACAATCTAAAGCATTTTCATCCATGATGAGTGACCTATAGATTCATTGTTCTCTTAGCACAAAAGTGGAGTATGATATGAAAGTTATTTCTAAGAAACTTTTCTAAGACAACTCATTGAAGGACATTAATTGCCACTTTGGGATTTGCCCTCCCAACAGACCCAGTCAAAGAAAGAAAATCGTTTTATTCTTTTGTTTCCTTTTGCTTCTCACACTCTAGAAAAAAGGGTTCATCCCCTGATACACAAATGTTTTAATAATTTCTTCGTCCCCTGTTAAAACCCAGTCTTGACAGTAGGCTCAGCACTCTTGTAGCAACAATGATCATTGGGATATTAAGACTCCACTCTCCTAGTTTGATATGGGGGCACAGAACATAAAATACAGGTGGCCATTCACACTGGCCATTTCGAGGAGATGAAAACAAGAGCTCTGATGGGTTCTCACACAAAGAGGATTTTGATCAGGAAGACAAGTACAGGATTGTGGACTGGAATGGAAAGAAAAGAGAAGGAATTGTTTGAATGCTACTTAAACAGTAAGTAAGAGTATAAAAGTGCTGATATTAAACCATAAAAGGTTGACCAGTGAGATGGGGAAGGGGATGACACTCAGACTATCAATACCTTTTTCCTCCAAAATATTTTATTTCAAAAACAGAAAGGGGCTTTTAACAATTGAACTCATTAAAATGCAAGCCTTGCTAAGACTTTGAATCCACCATCTTTCAGAAGAAGAAAATGAAAGCATAAAGTTCTTACTTCAAGATTACAATGAGGTTTTCTAAAAAAAAATTTAATTAAAAAATTATTCTTACAACTTAGGTAATATGTCTGCAAAAGTGTTCATGCTGCTAATTCTGAGAGATACTGTCATCTTACTTCACTATCACCAAAGTGGCCAAGGGATTTTTTTTTTTAACTTGAATGTTATAGGGCCTCATGCCTGGAGACACTCTCTCCCACAGCACTATATTCCCAACCTGAGAATGTTTTTGTTCTCATAAACCCTTTAGACATGCTAAAGGATGAATCATATAATAGATAAAGACATCTGCTACTTTAGTTAATGTGGTTTGTTGTTTGGGCATGTATAGAAGGAAGGAAAAATATGCATCTGCATTAGATGAAGCAACATTCACATCATATTTTTCATAACTTTCTTCTATCTAGGAAAATTAAAAAATCTTTTGTGAGTGCTAATCCTCCAGTGGAAGTGACCTTCGATGGAAATGATCTTTAAGACGTACCACTTGACCCTGCCATGTTTTAGATTCTTCCATTGGGAATGCTTTACCATCCACAGAGCTGTGGCCTCACCTTTGAAGAGGTTTGGCTCTCTCTCGCCCATGGAAAAGATTTCTTACAATTACGGTCCTTTATGGATGAACTTAGTTTATAAGATGTCTTCTTCCCTAAAATAATGATTTTTATAGACTTTGATTTAATACTATTTTTTAATTTTTTAATTTTAATCTTAATTTTTATCAAGTTGTTCACAATAGTTCATTACAAGTAATGTTCAAACACCAATTCCACCACCATGCATCTTCCCAAAACCATAAGAGGAAAGTGTGTTAAGATTGTTATATTTCACCCTGGAGCCACCTAAGTAAGCCCTTATATAAGAGATTACGAGCATGTGTATTAAAACCAAACAAATGTTTGCTACTTTTGGTAGCTTTATTCCAGGAGATTTATTTCATAGTCTCTGGGTCTTGGCCGTTGATGAGATTATATGGTACCGGGGGCAGCCTGTGGGTGTGACTGCCAAGCTCCTGGAAAACTCGGGACCTGGGGAAAGAGGCCCAGTCCTGTTCCAAGAGATCTCAGAGATCTCAGTTACAGTCCTGCATACCTGCGTTTTTCTGCAGGTTCCTCTATAGGTGACATTTCTCTGAGTGTATGGAGAACAAGCATGGCTGTGGTTGAGTTCTGGAAGTTTTCGGCTACTGGGGTGCTACTTGGCGTGGGGAAGGAGACTTAACCCACCCCACTCCAAAGTGCCGCAGTGATACAGCCTGGCACAGGATCAGGACATTCTGTCGTGATCTTCCATGAGCTTTGATTTAAGACTATTATAAAGTCAAAGTACTGCATGATCTCTGGGTTTTAGTAAGAAGTCTAGAGAAGTATAATAAGTTGTGAGTGACTATCAGTTTTAAGGTGTGAATCAGTTCTATAACATTGGGTCAACCAACTTTTAATTCTAACATTTCCCTCCAAGTATTTCCCTTAAGAGAATGAGAAATTAAGAGACCCAGGAAAAGGGAAGTAAATATATGATATGATGCCAATTAATAAGTACTCAGAAGTCTTCTCTGTTAGAGAATAAAAGCAAATGTACAAAATATAACTTTTTCCCAGAATATTAATAACAGTTGATATCTTTAACAATTTAAGATGAATTTTATATATTTTTGAAGGTCAATTTTGTATAAATAATTTAATTTTGGGCTGGAGCAATAGCACAGTGGGTAGGGCATTTGTCTTGTATGGAGCTGACCTGGGTTTGACTGCCAGCATCCCATACTGTCCCCTGAGCACCACCAGCAGTAATTCCTGAATGCAGAGCCAGGAGTAACCTCTGTGCATCGCCAGGTGTGACACAAAAAGCAAAAAGAAAAAATTAATTTTAAATTCTTTAATAATAATCTTTAAGTCTTTAATATTTCAAAATGTTTATAGAAAGAAAAATATAATACGCTTAAATTGAGCATTCTGGTAGAAAGAAATGTTTCTATTTGTTCCTACTTATCTGCTCTCACTACCTATTTCTCAGTGAAAAGATAGACACAAGTAGAAATATGAAACAAGACACAGACAGGACTACACATCAATAATTCCTATTCTGTACAAAGTTGAAAATCTGAAATCTGTAAAAAAAAAATACCAAAGAGAATTATGGCAGAATATTTACTATTAAATTAAGGAATATAACTGAATTTGAAAGGAAATATTTTTAGGGAAAAGAAGATATAGATTCATTGATGATGGGTCACATATCTAGTCCAGGGGTAAAGGTGCTTGCCTTGCACGCAGTTGACCTGGATTTAAATCTCCTGTACCACATATTGTCCCCCAGCCCTGCCAGGAATGACCCCTGATCACAGGCCAGGAGTAACCCTGACCAACAATGGGTTTGACTCCAGAATAAAAAAACAATTCATTGGACGAAGAAGGAAGAAGAAGGAAGGAAGACAGCAAGGAGAAAAGTGGAGTATAACTGACTATGGGGCTCCAGATCACATGTTGGTATTTATTTGGACAGCTGAACCACAATTGGAACCTGAAAAAGGTTCTGGATCATTTATGTTTTTCTAGCATCACCAATTCTTCTATGACATTTATTAGGATTCTACCTACCGAAATAGCTTTCTCTTTACCATTTAAAGTATATTACAATTTGGTTCTGGATTTGGACTCAGAACAGCAGTACATAGGGGATACTCCCAACTCTGTGCTCTGGGGTACCTCCCAGAACTATCAGGGGGACCACAAGAAAGCAAAACTTCAATCCTGGCATCGTGTGTGTGAAGCAAGCTCTCCAGGCATTGAGCTCAGGCTGGCCCTCTTCATAATTCTTTTAAATTTTACGCTTGTTTACATGTAGGTAAGAGCATGGAAATTTTTATTTCTTTCCATTTCTAAGGATATCATTTCTCTTTTTGGGGGGGTGTGTGCAGTGAACTTCAAGAAGTGTTCAAGAGGCCCCTGGAACCACCCCTGATCATAACAAGCCTGACTGTGAGGCCTGATGCTCAGTGCTCCAACATAACAGTGCAGTGCTGCCCAGAGTTGCTGGGGGCCACCAGGGCCACACTGGAAGTACTTAGGGCACCTGCTGTGTTTGTAATTAGACTTGTGAGCCCAGGCATTGCTCTGGCCCTTGGGATCATCTCGCTGGTCCCATAGTTTCTAGTTATGCCTAAGTAGTTTTCTATCGAGGCAGCCTGTGTTTCCTTTCCTGTGTCCTTATATTACTCATTTCCTTACCTGATCTGAACAAATGTGGTTTTTCTTCAGGTAATAAGAAATGAAGGACAATGGAACACATCAATGTGAGTTCTGATGGTTACTTTGTTCTCTTGGGATTTTCTAAGTGGCCTCATCTGGAAGTAGCTCTCTTCGTGGTCATCTTGTTGTTCTACTTGATGACATTGATCGGAAACCTGTTCATCATTACCTTGTCCTATTTGGACTCCCATCTCCACACTCCCATGTACTTCTTCCTCTCAAACCTCTCTTTCCTGGATCTCTGCTACACCACCAGCTCTGTTCCTCAGCTGCTGGTTAACCTCTCAGGCCCAGAGAAGAGCATCTCTCATGCGGGTTGCATGACTCAAGTTTACTTTTTCCTTGCACTGGGATCCACTGAGTGTATGCTGCTGGTGGTGATGTCCTATGACCGCTATGCAGCTGTATGCCGACCCCTGCACTACAACGTCATCATGAACCCTCGTTTTTGCCAGTTGTTGGCTACGGCTTCTTGGCTAAGTGGCCTGATCAACTCCGCACTTCATTCTTCCTTCACCTTCCTGCTTCCCCTGTGTGGGCATCAAGTGGACCACTTCTTCTGTGAAATCCCAGCACTGCTGCGCCTGTCGTGTACTGACACTCGTGCGAATGAGCTGACTCTCAAAGTCATGACCTCTGTTTTTGTGGCGGTCCCTCTCCTTCTCATCCTCAGCTCCTACGGTGCCATTGCCCGGGCCGTGCTGAGAATGCAGTCCACCAGCGGCCTTCAGAAAGTCTTTGGGACATGTGGATCCCATATTGTCGTTGTGTCCCTCTTCTTCATCCCAGCCATGTGTATCTATTTCCAGCCATCCTCAGAAAAGATTCGGGATCAAGATAAGTTCATTGCCCTCTTTTACACGGTCATCACACCCAGCCTCAACCCTCTCATCTATAGCCTCAGAAACAAAGATGTAAGGGGGGCAGTGAAGAGACTGATGGGCTGGGAGTAAGCCTATATATGGTGACACGAACAGCATAATAGATGTCCTTTCATCAATGTTTTATCCATTTAACCATTTGTCGACCACTCTTTCATTCATTCTGTCAGAAGTGAATGAGAAGTGTGACAAGGTCTCTGAGTTTTGGTAACTTACAATTGAACACTATCTGCCTAAATACCTGACATTTTTTGATAGCAGGGCTGGAGCAATAGCACAGCGGGTAGGGCGTTTGCCTTGCACGAAGCCAACATGGCCAACCCGAGTTCGATTCCTCCGCCCCTCTCAGAGAGCCCGGCAAGCTACTGAGAGTATTGGATATGACAGACACAGTAACAACAAAGTCTCCAATGGAGACGTTACTGGGCCCGCTCGAGCAAATCGATGATCAACGGGAGGGCCTTTACTTACTTACTTACTTACTTTTTGATAGCAAATTCGTACATACAAAAGCAAAATCAAACATCAATATTAAATGTTTTTATTTAATGTCTGTAGCACTGTAGCACTCCCATTCATCTATTTGCTCGAGCAGGCACCAGAAACGTCTCCATTGTAAGACTTGTTGTTACTGTTTTTGGCATATTGAATATGCCATGGGGAGCTTGCTAAGCTCTGCCATGTGGGCATGATACTCTCGATAGCTTGCCAGTCTCTCCAAGAGGCATAGAGGAATCAAACAGGGTTGGCCTACCTGCTGTACTATTGCTCCAGCCCATCACATATCTAATAAAACAAAATATCTCTTAATTCAAATGAGACATGGAATTTATTGCAAATGTGATCAAAGACTGGCTCATTGGAAAAAAGTTTTTTTTTTAGTATGAAGCTAAAGCAATTTGTGATTTTAGACAGGATCATCAACAAATTTATCTTCTGTCTTTGATATATTTAAATACATAGTAAAGCTTTTTTTATTTATTTTTTGTAGGAGTACTGCTATTTATTCACCACTGATTAGCTGATTGAATTGGGCATGAACTCCACCTTAATTTTTTATTTATTTTTTCTTTTTATATTTATTTATTGAATCACTGTGGGAAAAGTTACTAAGCTTTCAGGTTTAAGTCTTGGTCATACAATGATCAAACACCTTTCCCTTCACCAGTACTCATTTTTCACCACCAAGAACCCCACTATATCCCCCTCCTACCCCTCCAAATGCCTATGAGGCAGATGATTTATGCTTAACTCTTCTCTACATTGATTACATTCATTATTTCGACAAAAGATGCACCATTATTGTTTAGAATTTCCCCCCAAACAATCAGAATTGCTGAAAAGACATTGTGAAATGTTTTGTTTTCAATAGCTGGTTATGAGAATCATATAATGTCACGCGGCCACAATTTTGGATTTCTGCAAAGAGCCAGATAATTACAAGATTGGTTCCTGTGTGTCTGGTGTTATGGCTGTGCCGGAGAGCCGCTCGTGGGGGGTAACTCGTGACCTCGGTAGGGCGTGAAGGACGAGCCAGTACCGTCCCCCCTTCCCATGAGACTACAGTTGCCCCGTCACCGCCAGCTCATACCTGGCTTTCCAATAAGCTCTGAGGCGGCGGCCACCTTGTATGCAGTCCAGATGCATTTCTGCCAAAAACCACTGGGTTTCAAAATTTGTTTCTGAGTCTCTGGTATCATGGCTGTTAATCAGCTTGATCAGGAGCCAGAGAGGCCGTTTGTAGGCGGCGACTCGGGGTATCGTTGGGATGGGGAGAAAGAGTTGGCTCCACCCCCATGTGGTGAGGCCCCGTGTGTCTCGTCACTGCAGGCCCAAACCTGACTGTCCAGTGGCCTCTGGAGGATGGTGGTCACCAGGCCGCCAGGGGGAACAGGCCAAGGCACGAAATCTATTCCCACATGGAGTGGCCCAGCACCGGTAACCTACTGGAGGAACAGGACGCATTTCTACCAAAAGTCTTTGGGTTCCAAGATTCGTTTCTGAGACTCTGGGATCATGGCCATTAAGCAGATAGATCAGGAACCAGAGAGGCCATGCCTCCAATTATATAGCTGAGCCGGAGGTGGTTTGTGGGTGTGTCTTCCACATACCTAACTTTTGGCAGTTTACTTTCTTGGTAAACTTTGCCCCAAGTTTTTGGGGTCTGGTCAAAGGCACAGCAGCAATTTTGGGGTATATGGAAGTCTGACGTTGCCATCAGGCCACTGATGCACTCACCTCACAGGTACAGATTGACCTGCTGGCGGCACCATACCCCCACATAGTAAAGCTTTTAAAACACATATTGTCTATTTAAATTTTACTAAAATAGTATTAGTTTACAAGTTTGTAGATGATTATATGATTCAGGATTACAGTGTTCCTATACTAAACTATAGCCGTCACTAAAGTGCATCGACATCATTCATCAACTCTCTCCCACCCTTTCAGCCTCACACCTGCCATTGTAACTTCAGCTCTGAGGTCAGAGTGATTTCTTGCATTTGACCATTGCCTGTTGCTTTGTTTATCATCTGGTATTTGTATTTCTTCTTTGGATTTATTTCACTGAGCACAACTCCATTCATTTCTAATCAGTGTTGTGGCAAAAGAAAAGGTTTTGTCTTTTTTTCTCATCCTTATTTTGGAGGGTGACGATACCTTCAGTGCTCGGGGGCAACTACTGGTGAGGTGCTGGGGGTCAATATGGAACTAAGAGTGAACTTAGTCTCTCCACCCCCCGCAAAATATGTATTCTACCTACTCTAGCCCTTGGATTTATCTCCATGGCTCTGATTTAATGTATCTCCATGGCTCTGATTTTCTTCTTATTGAGTAGCATTCCATTGCATATACGTAGTACAATTTCTTTATTCACTTATTTGTTGATGGGAACGTGGGTTGTTTCTAGATCTTGTCTTCTGTAAGCACTACTAAATTGAACTTAAATGGCATATAACTTTTAATTATGAATTTATGTTTTCAGATGTGTCCCTCGGGGTGCAGTTGTTGGATCACATGGTCATTTTGCTTTGGGAAACCAGAGTGCTGTCTGCTGCTGCCAGTGGTGGAATAGAGCAACTCATCCCTTAATGGAGACATCACCATGCTCCCAGGGAGGCCACTGAAACTGGGTGTAGGATAACATAGGTTTGTCCTTTCTGCCTTATCACTGGGAGCTTAGGTTGGGTTACTTTCACCTTGCTCCCGTTCCTCTTGTTTATTCTTTCTTTATGCTCTACTTCCCCAACCGATCAATCACCTCAATCAGACTCTGTTAACATGTAAACATTGTTCTCCTCTTCTCCTATATCCTTTGCATAGTTAATTCAGAGCAATGTCCTTTTTGTATAGACACAGGAAGACAGTTAATGCTACGCTTTTGTAACTTGGGAGTTAATTGACTCAAATTAATATTCACTCCTGGGCATCTGTTCTTTCAATTTAAGCCTCAGTTGCTCTTAGTTCCTAGCAGTCCAAAAATTGGCTCCTGAAGAGAGACTGGATGGACCCAGGGCAAGCTGTGAGCTAACCTGGCATTGAAATGGGCTGGGACAAGCACCATAATACTTAACGATAAGTTAAGAGCATGGTCATGAACAAATTCTGTCATGATCCAAAAAGTAACTAGATTAGGAACCTGCAGGGGTAAAGCAACAGCATAGCAGGTAGGATATTTGCCTTGCACGCAGCCAATGTGGGTTCAATTCCCAGCATCCCATATGGTCCCCTGAGCATTGCCAGGGTGATTCCTGAGTGCAGAGCCAAGAGTAACCCCTGTGCATTGCCAGGTGTGACCCAAAAAGTCAACTGTCACTGTCCTCCCATTGTTCATTGATATGTTCAAGCGGGCCCAGTAACGTCTCCATTTTGAGACTTCTTGTTACTGTGTTTGGCATATCGTCATGGGTAGCTTGCCAGGCTTTGCCATGTGGGCAAGATACTCGGTAGCTTGCCAGGTTCTCCAAGAGAGGTGGAGGAATCGAACTCGGGTCGACAGTGTCAGCCACATGCAAGGCAAACACCCTACCAGCTGTGCTATCGCTCCAGCCCAGAAAAATATCAGTTAAAGGAATTCATGGTTACTTAATCTGGTCTTAAAGATTCACAATCCTCCCGTTGTTCCTCGATTTGCTTGAGCGGGCCCAGTAATGTCTCCATCGTGAGACTTGTTGTTACTGTGTTTGGCATATCAAATACGCCACAGGTAGCTTGCCAGACTTTGCCACAGGCAAAACACTCTTGGTACTTGCCAGGCTCTCCGAGAGGGGCGGAGGAATCGAACTTGGGTGGGACATGTTGGCTGCATGCAAGGCAAATGCCCTACTCGCTGTGCTATCACTCCAGCCTGGTAGCTCGGTATAGTCATTAGTACTCTGCTCTTAAAGATGCAAAACAAAATCTTCTAAAAAAGTAGAAGAAACCCCACTCAAAACTATGAAGATACGTCACTGTAACTGTCACTGTCCTCCCGTTGTTCATCGATTTGCTTCGAGCGGGCCCAGTAACATCTCCATTTTGAGACTTGTTGTTACTGTGTTTGGCATATTAAATACATCACGGGTAGCTTGCCAGGCTCTGCCGTGCGGGCAAGATACTCTCGGCCATAGCACAGCGGTAGGGCGTTTGCCTTGTGCGCAGCCTGCCTGGCCATGCTGGGTTTGATTCCTCTGCCCCTCTCAGAGAGCCCAGTAAGCTATGAAGATACATAAAAAATATAAAATATGGGAGATAAGGAGAGGAGAAGAGGTAGATGAGAATAAATTTAGAATAAATTCAAGCCTGGTTCGATTCCTCCACCCCTCTCAGAGATCCTGGCAAGCTACCGAGAGTATTCAATATGCCAAATACAGTAACAAGAAGTCTCACAATGGAAACGTTACTGGGGGCGCTCGAGCAAATCGATGAACAACGGAAGGACAGTGTTTGCTGTTGAGTTTTATTCTAAAGATAAATTGGAGTTTTATCTTAGAATAAATTTGAGGCTGACTTGCTTTCCATCTAAAATGGAATTTGAGGGACAAGACAATGAGTAGGAAGTTTGCCCTGCATGCAGCAGTCCTGAGTTTGGT